CCTCATGATTGAATTTCATGACTTTATTTAATTAACATGAAATCCAAATGCACAGCCATCACCAATATATCTTGCTGAAGGTGATCCCTGCAAAAAGGCTCTGTGGTCACTAAAGTTTGGGACATGCCATGTACTGTGTTTTGGGTGTTCATAGTGTATGCCAATCTCACCAAAGCTCTGCAAAGTCCTAGACCAAGGACCGGTTGAATTATTTGACTCAACCTTTCCCAAACTTACCAAGAAAAACCTCCCTCCCTTGTCTCCCATAGGGTACCTACTGATATCTAAAGAGCTGGTATACAATATTCCATAGAACTATCTGGAAGATGAATTAGAGCAACATCAAGGTATAACTCTCAGGTTTATATCAGATACCAGAATCTGAAATGTAGAGGGGGGAAAATATTGACTAAGGACATATCAAGAGGGAGATCCAATTCTGTGGCTAATTAAATGGTTTTGATGAAGTTCAAAGAAGCCTTTTGCAAATAAACATGATAATTGCATATTGCAAGTGTGCTTGCTCTAAAAGTAGAAAACAATAGTGGAAGAAAAGAAGCCATCATCACTCACCTCCCCCCCCGCCCTCTAACTTTGGAGGGAGCCTCAAGGGAGTCAACTCTAGATAGGAGGAATTACTAGAATTGTAGCTGATTTCAAAGAGGATTTAATCTAAGCCCCTCATTTTCATATGGGGAAACTGAGGCCCAATGACCAACACTGACTAAAATCTGGATGCTCTGACCGGGCAATGGAAGGCCTGCAGTCAGTATGCAGGTCTCCTGACTGGCTCCTTGCCCACTGCTACCCCACGCAGTCTCAGCCTTTGCTGGGGTGATTGTCATCTGCAGTTCTCTGCACCCTCTGCTCCTCGCCAATCCCACCACTGTACTTTCTTTACCAGCAGCTTAAATACCTTAAACTGTATGAATTTTCTGTGAGAGTTCAGTGATTAAATAAGAGGACTATGAGAGCCTCAATTGTCTAGCACAGAGACCCACCCGTATGTAACAGGAAGCTTGATTGGTTATTCGAACAGCCTACTTCTGGCTACACCACTCTCTCTGCCTTCTAGAACCTTGCCTCAAATTTGCAACTGCAAATTGAACACTGGATTATATAAACATATTATGAAACTCTCTAATTTGTTTCATGGGACCAAGTTGTTTTTCCAAACGAAACGCCAGCTTCCACAAGCCTAATTTTAATCACCCATAGTACCTAGCCCAGAGCTAGACACCTAGAGGCAAGCCAGCCAGTACTCATTGTTGAGAAATTACAGGAATTCAGAAGGAGATACTAAAATAATGATTATATTTACAAACTGGTAGCAGGAGCCCCTTCCTCCTCCAAATCACATGTTGGCGGGAAATCAAAAGCAACCAAGTACATCTCTGACCAAGAAAATACTCAACTCACATTAAAAATTAGGACACATCCACCCTGTTGGTTTTCTTGGGTTTATGTTAGAAAGGAAGGGAGAGGTAAAAAGAGGAAGAAACATCAATGATGAGAGAGAATCACTGATGGGCTACCTGCTGCACTCCCCCTACTGGGGATCAAGCCCACACCCAGACATGTGCCCTGACCAGGAATCGAACCATGACCTCCTAGTTTATAGGTCGATGCTCAATCACTGGGCTACCTGCTGCACTCCCCCTACTGGGGATCAAGCCCACACCCAGACATGTGCCCTGACCAGGAATCGAACCATGACCTCCTAGTTTATAGGTCGATGCTCAATCACTGAGACACACCGGCCGGGCTACAGGTTTGTGTATTTTTTAAGTCTTCTGGGGTAAGGCAAGATAAGCATAAGAATATCAATAAAATAAGCTGTTTTAAAAATGAGAGAGAGAGAATAAAGAAAGGGTTAGAAACAATGAAGGAAAAGTAACAAGACTGAGCCAAACTCACAGAAAAGCCATGGAGTTCACCAAAACTTGGGGTCCCACAGGAGGCAGCCCTAAGTTAGGAGCAATGGCGTGCCATCTTTCTTCTTCCCAACCCTCAAGAGACAGTCAGTGAGCTAAACTGAACTACTCATTTGCAAAAGATTGGGTTGGTAGGGAAAGAGCACAGATGAGGGCAAATTAAGCCAGCCCTATTTTCTGTAGCTCTTTTTAAAAACCCTTTAGCTAAAAAAGACTCAGCTGCTAATCTAAAATGTTGCCTGCCTGTTCTCACCCACAAGCCTGCTTCCTAAGGCTTTAGGCTATCCAGTGAGAAAATGGAGAAGAGATCAAAGTTTATTTATAATTAGAAGACCTCAATTTTAGAGGTGGCATGTCCTCGAGATCACATGGCCAGGGGACAAAGATTTCAGATAGATAGTGGTCTTACTCTAGCAATGAGGTCCAAACAGGTTAACTGTTTTGCCTAAAATCACTTATGAAAACAAAGGAAAAGACTGCCTTCTGCTCCCAACACAAGGCATGTACCTTTCATAAGGATGAAATCGCCCTACCAGCCAGTGGCTTCACCACAAACATATACAACTAGAAAGTAGTAAAATCCTTGGGTCAAATTTTGGCATAGGGTAAATCATGGACGGTTAATAAGGTGAGCCCTGTAGTTGGACTGTCTAGGTTCAAATCCCATTTGATAACTAACAGCTCATTTAACTTCCCCAAGCCTCAATTCCTTGTCAGTAAAATGAGAATGACATGGTATACAGATGTTATAAGACTTGCATGAGAGCCATAACAAATACTTAGTACCTGGCAAAAAACTAAATGCTCAATAACCATTAAATAAAATCTGTAATGCTCTGCATTTTTCTATAAGTTTTTCATAAATATCTTCTCTTAAATATTCACAGTATCAAGTTCTCATTCTATCCAATGGAAGCCTAGAAAAATGATCCCAAAATTGATTGATATCTTTTGCCCCTACCCAAATAAAAGGTACTTAACTACTACTATTATTACACTACTATGCCATCTGAGTGTTTTTTTCTCCTCTTTCTGTTCTTCTTCTCTCTCTCAGTATTCCATTTGCTTGCTCATTAACCTGGGTTTTTATTTCCTCTGTAAAAATGTACATTGTAGCTCCAATCCCATCTCTATCACTATTGGGCTGTGTGGTGTCGGGCAGGTTTCTTAAGCCCTCTGACACTCAGTTGACTGGGAACAAGGTGGAGGCGCATGTGAATGACTTCCTGATGGGTGGATGAACTTATTCCACAGTCAGCGTAGTGCATTTGGGCTAAGACAGGCAGGGGTGCTTTGTTTGATTGGCTTGTTTTCGGCACAAGGTTTTAAATGACGTTCAGATTAACTCACCTTATTCTCAGAGGTCAATGAGACTTACTGCCTATTCTCAGCCCCACTTCTCTTCAGACCTTACACTGACTGCAGTGACATGGGTAAGTAACAGAATGACGGATAGAAAGAGGTGGAGATAGAGCCCACAAGACCTGGTTCAGGCTGTGCTTGTGTAGACTGCTGTCTTCATCAGGGACGAAGATACCCGGCTGGCAGTCAAACATGCCATGTATGTGATGCTTCTGACTTTACAACCCAATGGTTCTGACGGAGAATGGGCTGCAGTCGGCACGGGGAACTCAGTCCACCCTTCATGCCTGGGATGTTCTAACTCAGACTACAATTACTGTGGGGGACTGAGAAGCCCATCCCTGATTCAGCTTTACCAGAGCTTTGATTCTCTGGCCAAGCACATGCCGTTTGCTGGCTGCATGAGAAACACAAACGAGAGACCAGGCTGGCAAGGGGCTTGCCAGGGTGGACACTGGCAGTGAAAAGTGCACATAGAAAGCTTAAAAAGACAGGCTCGGCTTTGGAAAGATAAACATAATCAACTATCGAAGTCTGTATTCTGCTTATCTCGATGGCCCCTCTGGAGAGGAAACACACATAACATCTAGATGGGATAAGCAGTGGTGGGAGAACCTCTAGAAATGGAAATAGAAAATCTGAGTTCTAGCTCCAGTTGCCTATTGACTTCTTTGTATGGCCACATGCACACCACATTCACGCCGTGGGCGCTGGATGGCTGCTTTCAGGTTGTGTAAGGAAGGATGTATTTCTAAGCCTCAGTATCAAGACAAGATACATGCTAAGTAAGAGTCTTTACCTCGTGGTGTAGAGAGAGTGACATGACCAATGTCAAGCCCAGCACAGTGCGTAGCTCATAGTACTAGTAAATCTCAATTAAGTTTAGCGGTTCATATGACCACTTGCAAAGCGAGTGGAATGAATGGGCCCTATATATAGTACCTTGTAGCCCTAACATTGTTTTTATTCTAAGCTTTGGTGAAGTGAAAGAGAAGGGATTAGCTGGCTGGGAAGCCTAGGCTCAGAATTTAGAAAGCAAAGGCAAGTTTGCCATGGCATCTATATAATGGTGTTTACAGTTTGTAATCTTGAGCTAACTTGATTATTGCTACACAAGTCAACTGGCACGTTAAAATAACGATCACAGTGCTTGGTTGCAGTCACGCACTGAGATGCCTGAGCCCTATAAATTCCTAGGTCTGGTTCTCCCAGGTTCCCCCGGCAAATCGCTCGGTTTCTGAGTCACTGAATAAGTTAAGGACCACCTACCCCTAGATTATTACTGTCATTTGAATGGTGCTCCTTGAGGATAGGCCTACAAGAGACTCCACCTGCAAACATCCACAGATGACTCCCTTGCTAGAGTTTGGACGAGGCTTTTCCTATAGATTTTGTGACCTCGTATCTCCTTTCTAACTGCCAATATCCAATAGACCTCCACCTCATGGCAAGCCCAACAGGACAAATGACCAAACAAAAACTCTGCCAGTGCTAATGGGTCACGGGATGGAAGTCATTTCAGTGGAAAGGGTTGCCTCCTGGTAAGCCCAACCTATCTTGCCTAGTTTGCCGGAGTCCTGGACACTGGTGCTGGCCCACCCAGGGTGGCACCACAAATTCCACACACTCTATTAGACATTCAAGTGTAGACAGTATCTTCCACTAGACCAAGCTATTAGATATTAATGTTCAGACAACACCTACCTCACTCCAGACCAGCATGGTACCGAATATGACCTGTAACCCATCAAAGAAATTGTCCCCTATGATGATCACAGTCGCGCCTCCCGTCGTCCATCCTTCACTCGGGCTGATGGCTTTGATACAGGGAGTAGCTGCTTTTCAACACACATGAAAAAGAGAAGGAGTCTGCTGTTAGAATCAAACTTTAATGATGGGAGACTTGAGAAAAAGAAAAAAAAAATCTTTTATCTTTTCACGAACAAAAAGTCCCGCAAAGATCTCAGCATTTCTTAGCTGCATTAGGACCAGAAACCTTAGGGTGCAATTTCAGTTTTTAAAAGCATTCTTTTCATTCTTTCTATTGAGAGACATATGTTTTCCCCAAATCATTTTCAAACCTGAAATCTTATGAAATAGAATATTTAATTTACGAAAATATTACAGATTATGAAAAATGAACAATGAATGACTTTTTGGAACACACTGGAAAACTTATAGAATTGCTTCATAATGAAATCTACATCCTGAAAATAAAGCTCATAGATTTTTAGATAAACATTTCTGTCCAATGGGAAGCAGGAAAGGAGGGACAAGCAAAAAATTATTCTTGCTGAAAGCCTTTTGTCTGTAACACTAACATAGAACATTCCTCGTTAAAAATCATTAAGATTTTTTTCATTAAATGTTATGGATTCCATTTTAGAGGTGCAAAGTGTGCAGGTCACTTGGGGTGAATTATGCAACTGCACAGCTGAGTCAGGGCTGAACCACAGAGAGTCTCATGACCTTTGTTTTGCTGTCATTCCCAGGCATAAACTCCTAGAACTGAGTTTTTCAGAATTTCATATCTCTTCTTTTCCCATTATAAATGGCCCTTGGAGATGGGGAATAATTTGAAAATACTGTAATTCCAAACAGACTGGAGGTGGTTTGCCTGATGAGCATGGTGTACTTTCAAGAGAATTGCTGGGCATAAATGTAATTGTAGGATTATGTTTTAGAACTGTCTCAGAGGGCACCTTCCTTCCCCTGAGGATTTTTAACTCTGCGATGCCACGCTGCTTTTGCCATGATTACTTTTATGAACACGACCAAAGCAAAATTCTAGAGTGAGGAATGTGTTGTGCCAGGAGAGAAAATGAGACCCTCCTCTATAAAAAAATTTATTAAGTATCCAAGCCTGACTTTTCAAGTATTGAAGCCAATGCGAGCACCAGTTAATTTTAATGAGACCAAAAACTGGCAAAAATTATTGGACTTTGTCAAATTTGGCAAAAAGTCATGTTTTAACTTTTGCAAGAAAGAAAATATGAAGCCCAGCCCAGTGGGACCATTGCTCACGTGCAGCCACACAAACAAGCAGAGTGGGTTTGATTTTGGTTCAAATTAATCTTATAAAATTGCACAGAGAAATTAGGAAATATCCAAACTAAACATTTCACGTTGGCTGAACTCAGAGTAATGCATTGACAACTCAAACTGGGCAGCTCGGATGCCTTTTTTCTCCTCCACTTTCTCCCCAAAACAAAATAATTAATCAAGAAAATGTAAATGATTCATAACTTGAAAAATTCCTGTCCCATTTTTAACACACATAAAGGTTGTGATTCACAGTTCCACAGGCCTAGGGCTTTTTCTTAAGCAACATTTTTCTCTAAAAGTAAAACAGGTTAACATGCATAATCAAGTACCCAAAATCAATGATAAACTATGATGTATGATTTCCAGCAAATTATGAGAGAAATAAACTATATTTCACAACGATGTAAAATTCTTCAAATAAAAGCAGTTTGGAAACATTCTAGTTAAGGTCTCAAAATCTTAACTCTTAATTTCACACTCAGTATATTCAGTGGCTAGAGTGGAGTAGAAGAGGTCTTGCTCTCTCTCTTGATACTTCTGAGAAGAATGGAATATTGGTTTAAGTGAACTGGCCTGGACAGCGTCCCTCCTGATGGGAAAGTGCAGAACCCAGTGGTATTAATAAATGTGGATCCTGTGATTACCTTCATAAAACACAAAATAGTCTTGGCGTTTATGTCTGGATTAGCCTGGGGATTTCTTTTAATTTTTAAATTCTTATTTTGTTTTTTAGTCACCCAAGTATGTTTCTTTAGATCAGTGGTTCTCAACCTTGGCTGCACATTAGAATCACCTGGGAATCTTTTTAAAAATCCTGATTTCTGGGCCTCATCCTCCGGAAATTCTGTTTCTTTGTTATGGGGTGGGGCCACAACATTAGTAACAAAGAAACAGAATTTCCGGAGGATGAGGCCCAGAAATCAGGATTTTAAAAAGATTCCCAGGTGATTCTAATGTGCAGCCAAGGTTGAGAACCACTGCTTTAGATAAATATGGTCTCCTCCAGGCTTTCTCATCATTGTACAGAAGGAGCCAGAATGTGCTGGTGTATCTTTGAGACTCATCTATAGTTAAGATGTTACAACAGCATAGCCAACACCTGCTGGATTTAAACTTGAGCCCCTCCCTCTTCCTCTTCTTTCCATTTGTTATCTGTAGGATACAGACGGCATGTAAATGTGTGTGTGCATGTGTTTGTGTGTGTGCTTTCAAACATTTCCTGAGACAAACTGTGTCTTCAAATTTTGTGAGCAACTGTCCAGAAACAAAGCTAGATGCAACTTGTCAGAAGAAAGAGCAGCAAGTTTGGTGAGGAGACAATATATGACACTATCTTATTAGATTTTTGGAGAAAAAAGTCTTGAAGGAAGTACCCCAGGAAAAGAGTGGCACATCTCACCTCCTGGTCCATCCTACCTCAATACTCAATGTCATCCACTGTCCCTGCCTGGAGACTAGACGCCATTTTTAGAACAGGTAAGTCATGCAGCCCTTTCTAAGTTTAGACCTCGCCTGGTTCTAGAGGTGCTCTTACACATCTGTATGTCTTAGCAGTCTTGAGCGGAAGCTCTATAGTACTTCCCCAGTGGGAAGCTCAGAAAATATGTAAAGGAATCATGGACTGCGCCACTGAGAGAGAGGGATGAGAAAGAGATGTTACCGGCATTTAGTGCCAGGAGGCTAAGAATGCTGTGTATCTCTAACTCTGCCTGCGGTGGTCCTCCAATATGAAGAACTCTAAAATGTCAATAGTGCAAGGTAGAAAATACTCTACCTAAAAATCCAGGCCCAAGAACAGGTGTTAAGAACTGACAGAGCCATACAGGTCAAGTCAAGAAACACCGATGAATAAAACAGGGTCTCGGAACAAGCATGAGACGGAGAGATGGCCACTGACACTAGGAACTGGAGAAGCAATGGGGAATGACAGGACGCTGATGGGCTGGCGGTTTGCTGAATACATCCCCCACCTAAAGGTGTCACTGCTACTCAGCTCCAGCCATCGATAACTCCACACAAACACAGGCCCGGGTTGGGGGTGGGACTTCAGAAAAAAGGATGGGAACCCAGATTTTTATGTGAAATTTCCAAATCTTTAAATGTTGGCAGCTAATTCAATAAACTGTGTTGGCTAAACAAAATGTTTATGAGTAGATTTAACTCATAGAATACCATTTTACCCTTCCACCTGAGACACGAATTTGCCAGACTAAACGCAGCCCAGGTAATACTTGCAAATATGACCAAACTAAGGCACCCAAATGTTCACAACAATACTGACAGTAAAATATCCAAGAGTCTAGGTGCCCCCAGCTAGAGAGTGATTAAATAAACCGTGGTACATCCATACCATAGAATATTAGGAGTGTCCTTAGAACAGATGAAAAGAAATTCTATAAACTGACATGGGTAGCTGTCAAAATACATTAGGGAGGGAAAAACGTAATTTGTAAGCTGGAGAATAGTGTAAACTTGTTCATTTAAAAATGATATATATGAGCCTGTATGTGCATAAGTATGTGAGAGCATGAGTGTGAGCTTGTATGTATGTGTGTGTGCGTGTATGCAGTTACCAGTGAACAGGTATGATAGACAAAGGTCTGGAAGGATGTACACCAACTCTTGTCAGTGGGTCCACATGCAAAAGGAATGTGACTGGCGTGGGACTGACAGAGCAGGGTGACCATTAAATTTGACTCTGTAGACATCCGTAGGGTTTGAATTTTTTCAATGAGCACATGTTAAGGCAATGCATTATTATACATAAAAATTAAATAACAGCAGAGCATTTAACTCTGTGAGAGATAAAGATTGTACTTTTTAAAGCAAACTGGCGGTGATTTTTTTAGAAGCCAGGCTGTGCTGAGTAACAGACCCTGAGCCTCTCCTTCCCTCTTCCTTTTGGGTGACTCTGAGGAAGCTCAGTCATCTAACAGCCCAGGACTTCTTTCTCCTGCACTCAGGATACCCAGGGAGTCCCCGAGGTAAGAGGAGGAGAGATAGATTTTAATATAGTCGCAGAAGATGTAGTCAGTGGAATTTGAGGGTGAAAAGAGTTATAAAAGAATTCAATCCAGCCCAGGAGTCTAATAATCAATAAAATTCTATCGCCAAGAAAACATTACAAAATGGGGGAGGGAGAGGGGGTTTGAATACAAAACCACTTTTACCAGCCAAACCTTGATTTAATTAATAAATGTTCTTCCTCACCAATGAATTTTCACACGTCTAGGTATCCACAAGGATTGCTAGCCAATTCCTGCTTGCAAACCTTATTAAATACAAAAGTTCGGAGGGGTTGGTATTTTTGCTTCTTTTTTTTTTTCACTTCTCCCCCCACCCCCAACAGCCACCAAAATAGAGGAGATTTTCCTTCCTTCACACTATGACAATAACGTGATTACCCCACCATAGTTTAGCATAATGGCTCTGAAATGCTCGTGGCACATTGCAGAGTTAAAGTGGAAATTATTAGGTAGCTCTTCTTTGTTATAATAATGATCACTCCACAAATAAAAGCTCTTCTCCCAAAGGTACTGCAAGGCACAAAATGCTAATTCTGGAGATTATGTGTGCGCTTTTATTAAATATTACTATGCCCTGTCTGTCTGAGGGCTTCTTTGCTCTGATTGTTTTATGAGTACCATGTTAATGTCATTCCCATCTTGCTAGCAGCAGGCACACATTTTAGCGTTTGCATGAGAGTTGATCAAAGGCCACGTGCTGGGGGAATTGCTGAGAAAACACGGACAAGCGATAAAAATCTAACAGATTAATTGGTTTAAATTTCATT